GAAAGAAAGAAAGAAAGAAAGAAAGAAAGAAAGAAAGAAAGAAAGAAGGGGTGGCCGGCAGACCCAACTGGAAAGGGGCTCCTCCATGGGTGCTCCTCCATTGGCTCAAGGCAAGGCGGCTGGAAGCAGGGCTTGGTTTGTGGGGAAACTGGGCTGCTCCTTCTGGGCAAGCAGGGTCAGCCTTGCCGGAAACCCCCCCCCCCCCCCCCGAGGCATCGAGATGCTGCCTGCAAAAGCCCCTTCCCTCAGCATGTCTTTTTCTCCTTCAAAAGGACCCCCCCCCTGGGGGGGGGGGACTTTGGCCTTCCTTATAACATTTTTGTTTTGTGCAACGTGGCCTTGCCAGGCGTTCGAATCCAGCCCCTTTGCTCTGTCTGACCCAGCAGAACCTGGCCCGCTTGGGGAGCCCCTTGCAAGTGGGGATTATGGGGAAGGAATTTTCAAAATGGCAAAGGTCAAAGGTGACCCTACCGGTCTTGGCAGTTGTGTGTGTTTTCAGCCCACCAATTTTAATCAATTCCCTTCTGGAAACTGCTGGAATACAGGGGGATTTTTTTTTTTAGCACCTCAGCAGGGTGCTTTCAAGAGACCTTCAGCCGGGGTGGGCAGCCAGGGCCCCCCAGGATCCTCCACCCTGTTTGGAGGCCTCAGGCGTGGATCAGAGCAGCAACCTTGGACTTTCCTTGCCTGAAGCTTCTCTTGGGGCCTCCCATTCCTGGCACTGGGTTTCACGAGGACCCCGTTTTTAAAATTAAGACCATGGAACGATACCCTCCTACCCAGAACCAGGCTGGCTTACAATTTGATGAAATCTTTATTTTGTCTTCGTTAAGTTGCATAGTTTTTAGATGATATTTTATTAATACTAGAAAGCATAATATGATAGGACTGTCGGGTTTAGTAGATAATTATGACAATTATCTGTATAATAATTGCATCATATTTTGATTTTCTAAAGAAAAGGGCTGGTGGTTATGGTATAAAATATATTCTTTTCCAAATGAAGAGATTTCCTGATTTGCTTGTAAGAGAATAAAATATAGTATTATGAGTTTGAGTTTTCTGAAAATTAACTGGTTGAATGCACATGGAATGAATCTGAAACTAAAAACACAAGTTTGCCCAGGTGGACATAAAGGTTGACTGTGTGAGTTACCTTTGCTAACATTCCTTGTAGACGGATGGCGTCTGCTCCGTGCCAGAGGTACAGCAGCTTCTTTAGTATTCTCTTAGTGAGAGGCGGATTTTAACTGTTTTCTCATTCCTTCTGTATCTTCCCCCCTTCTTTTGGGTACTTTCAACAATATATTCAGAGATTTAAGGAAGTTACCCACAGTTTCGTTCCCACTTGGATGGCACATCCATTCTGTTTCAGTTCTGGTTCTTCATCTGAAAGCATCCGTTGCCATCAAAAACAGGAAAATTGATTTCCAGTTCAAAACTAGAGATGCATTTCAGATTTTTGGACTTCTGGAGACATGGAACAAGTGGGAGACCAACAGCTGGTCTGCTGAGGCTGCTAGTTGCAGTCTTGGTTTTCTAGAAGGAGGCTGGAGTTCAGCTGTAGCCGGACGGGATGCAGGGACCATAAAGGCCAGGCTGCCTTTCGGTTAAGCAGGGTGGGTAACACAATTTTCCACTGAATTAAAATAACTCCAAAGCAGCTAGAACAGCGAAGTGCTTTGCTTTCAGATAAGAGGCCCAAGTTTTGGCTTCGGAAAGGTTTTCCACGATTTCTCTAAAGTGTTTGAAGTTTCACAGGAGATTCTAGCCAGCAGAGGGAGAAGAAAATCGGGTATCTGATCCCCAGAGTGACAGTCTCTTAATTAAAAAAGAGTCGGTGTCTTCTTGGCCTTCAATTTCTGCTGTGATAAGGTTAAGCTGATAACATTTTATGAGGCTGGGTGATTGTTAAGTGTAGTTCTGAAGTTGATATGTCAGCCTGCACATAAGCAAATATTCCAAATGAATTTTTAAGCAGGGATGGTATATAATTTGTAGGTGAATTATGAAGACTGAAAGGACAGAGGAAAATGTTCAGTGGTATGGGTAATTATTGCTCTGGCAGCTTTAAACACGTACACTAAAATTAAAATTTAAAAGCTAATCCCACAGGAAACAGTATGTGGTGTTATACAGACCTTGCCCTGGAAAGTGGAGATTAGATCAATATCACCTCCCTTATGAGTTGTATAAATATAACTTTTAATATAAATATGACTTTGTTCTGCGGATTCAAAGTGCCTCCTGTGTCTGGGCTGGGGGCTGGGGGTGGGTGTCATGTGAATGGTTTGGATTTCCACCTGGAAAAGCCTTTGTGATCTGGGTCAGTTGGATCCCCATGAGAAGCACATTCTTTGTAGAATCCAGTTGATGGACTGTATGAATTTTGCTCCAAGAAACGGAATGTTTCGGTTCGATAAATGGCTCTTATGTTTTGCATGTCCTGCTGATCTCCATAATACTATATTTTGGAGCCCAGTTAGTGTGAGATCTATGCACACATTTGGAGATTGTTTTTATTTATTACCAGTATTGCAGTATTTAAGTATTTGGGCTGAAATAACAGTAAGAGAAATATGTGGGAAGGTTTCAAATGTTGGTTCAGGGGCTGTGCAAGTCCAACCAGGTGTTGAGGTCCAGTCATTTAAATCAGGGGTCCCCAACCACCGGTCCGCGGACCGGTACCGGTCCGTGGAACAAGTCCTACCGGGCCGCTGGTTTGCTGGGCGCCGCCATCTTTTTTTGATGAAAAAGTGCTTCCGGTGAGCTTTTCCAGGTAGAAAGCTCACCGGAAGCACCTTTTCATCAAAAAAAGATGGCGGCACCCAGCTGATGCCGGTACCGGGCCGCGCCATAAAAAAGGTTGGGGATACCGGGCCGCGGCATAAGAAAGGTTGGGGATCACTGATTTAAACCACAGCTCCCTGTTATGCCCGAATCAGAGAACTGTGATGAAATGTTATTGGTTTGCTAAACTAGAAATAGTCAGCCACTCACAGTGGCTGCCAGTTGGTTTCCTGGGGTGAGCCAAGGCGCTGATTTGCCCTCTGAAGCCCTCCATGGTTTCTGAACAGCTGGAACCAGACCTGGCCCGTCTTCTCCTGGGACCCAGGAAGCTCCCCTTCTGCCGCAGGGCCTGCCCAGGGCCTGGAACGAGGTGCCCCCACCTCGTTCGGCCCGGCCTGTGGCAAGGCGGGATGGCGCTTGCTCCACTGGACGTTAAATCTTGGTAGGATGCTTTGAGGCATTTAATAAGTTCTCAGGGTTGTTCTTCCTTCCTCTTTTTTTTTCTCTCTTCCGGTTTGGTCTTGTTGGTTGCTGTATTACGCTTACGTTGAGAGGGGCTCCGGGTTGTTTGGGAATCAAGTGGCATCGAATACAGCAGAATAACTACACGGTGAATAAGTTGTAGTATTCCTAGGGGTGGGTGTTACATAACGAGAAAGAAGGTAGGAAGTAAATCAAGTAAAGGAGGGACTTCCTTCGGCCACCCAATCATTCAATCGCAATGGCTTTGTGGAGATTTTTTTTTTTTTCCTTTTTGCGTGTCCAAAAGTTTGTGACTTCTGGGTGGGAAGGTGCCCATCTTCTTCCGAGTCCCAGCCTTATTTGTCCCAAATGCAGCACTCCTGGTGTTCCAGAGCCCATTAGAGATTTAGCATCTGCCTTACTATATTTGGGTTGGGTGGCCGGAAATTTGAAGCAAATGAAGTTTGGGCGGCATTATTAAAATGCCCTGGCTGCCCAGTAATTCTGAAAGCAAACTCTGTGTCGTTGCCAGAAGGTATTTAATTTTGGCTGGAGAAATGGGAGGAACAGCTGGCCTCAAGATCTGTACGTATCCATTGCGGTCTTGGACACCAAAGTGGCAGTAAAAAGGGGGCTGGATGGACACAGCGAGCATTCGCCTAATGGATGGCATGAGGGCCCCAGGTCTTTATGGCCCAGATGCCTCATCCTTAAAATGACCCTCAAAAGTGAGAATTTATTTGCCATCTGTCATCACTTCTGGATATCCTGGCAGGCCATCGTGATCCATGGAGAAAATGGATTGCGTTAGCTTTGCCTGTCTGGTTCCACGGACTGTCCCTTGGCAATTTCTCTCTCTTTTTTTTTAATGGAGGAGCACCTAATTGACCCTCCATTAGAAGTTGCCTGATTAGATCCGCTTCAAGCCTCTTTGGAGAGGACCAGGTGACCGCGCTCGTTACCCGAAGAAACATTCTTGTCAGCTGCCTCCTCCTGGGGCGTGTCTGCTTCTACTTGGCGGGGGCAAAGCTGGCTGTGAAAGTTGGAGAAAGAATCCCCGCCCTATCCAGTCAGATCATTTCAGAAAGGCTACCTCTCAACCTGCCTTGATGATGGAAGGGGGCTGGAGGAAGCCACTTCCCAGAAGCCACCAGCACGGGGCATTTTCCCGCTCTTCTTTGCGTCCAAGAGCTTCCCTGGGATCAGCCAAGGCCATTTTCACAGGGGAGGAGAGACGCAAGAAGCCCTCAAGTCACTGACCCATGTAGAAGATTCCTTCCTCTGGGAGAAAGGGCATCTGATGGGTTTATGGTTTCCATGGG